CCCCCCCCCAACCCCCAACCCTCAAACCCCTGTTCGAAGTAAATAAAAAATCTCTTGATTGATATATAGTTAGGAGCACTTGGTCAGCTCAGCATCATAATGTCCATCAGTGTCTCACTTTCTGTTATTGAAAACAGGACTAAATAGGTATCTCAAGACTTTAATCGTTTGAGTGATAGTGCGTTCCGCCAAACACTTTGACGATCTAATTGTGACACTATCCATACCTAGCGAGTGCGTGTCGGAGCGAATATCTACGACCTGTCTTGAAATGACCTGAATCGTAGTTTGATAATGGCAACCTTAATAAAAAGACAATGGATACATGTTGACTTGAAGACACATATGTAGTCTGTACCTTCATAACGACTATGCATATTTTGGAACATCTTTTACACCTACTCTTAAAACTTAGATGAACAAAATAGCTTTGTGAGAACAAGAGGCCAACTATAGGCCACGTTGCACCCAGTGCCTAATATTATTATAGTTACACTTCAGATAAGCCGTATGAGGAACCATTTTACTTGTTTTCTCTCAAAGTATTATCTTTAAGTCATTAAGTGATATTGTTTTGAACTGGTGATGCTACTACAATTTGCATCGTAACCCTTGCAGAGCTCCAAAAACATTCAGCGAAAACATTTAATCGGAAAATGGCAAAGTTTATCATTTTGTATTTTGATTTTTTTAAATATAGGTGATCCTTAGCAAAATGTGAGTAGTATATATATGTATTCAATTGTAACACGATTCGTTTGCAACGCGTATTTTGATTGGATATGGACCATGTTCTAATCTGCGATAGAATCATGATCAATCTTGTTAAGCTCCTCCCATCACACTTAAGCCACGCCCCGTTTCTAACCAAAACAATATGGCGTGAAGCTCGCCTCTTAGCGAAATCCCGCCGATAAGGCTAGTAGGCAAAAGAACAGAAACGACCAATGAAATGCATTTGTTGAATGAATTAAAAAGTAAAAAGTAGACATTCCTTGCTCTCACCTCCATTTATTACTGAAACGTTCGTTCCATCCGTGTAAAGGCATCTTTTTAGATCCGAAATCAAATAAAACATTTCACATGTGTCGTTTGCATTTACACCAAACTCTTCACAAATCTATACAAGTAATCACCGATTTTGTCGATACACACAGAATGGCACGCATACTGACATTAAAATGAAGAATTTGGTCAATATAAATCAAATGTGTCGTATAAACTTTGGTTACAGAACGTTCGAGAAACAATCCAAATATTCCGCTTCGTCAACATACAAATCGAGCGCTCGCCAGTACGTGTGGAGCCAAATAACCGACTTATGAAAGCTTCTTTCTGATTGGTCAGTCCGATGCATAATGACACGTCGCCAGCACAGGTCTCAGAGTACTTTACAACGTACTCCTGTAGCAAGGAAATGCAATGTTTCTAAGCAAATTAGCGAAGTGTATTTGTTAAGATTTGTTATCGGTCTCGAGTTCAAACCATATTTCATGTTCTAACCGCCAGTATAGCCACTCAAAACAACGTACTATCCCCTAATTCTCAGCGTTTTCTTATACACGTATTCAGGTTATCAATGTACCGTTTTACATGTATCGGACTATGTACAAGTATGTTATACGTGTTTCCTAATCAGCAAAATGAAATGAATTTTGTAATTGTTCATGCTAGTTGCTAATTGACATGAATAAGATATAGTTTAAACTAACCGTTTTTTCAAGTTAGTCAACCACGTCCCCAGGAGTATGTCAAGTTACTAAGATGCGCCAGGATACATAGAAACAAAGGAGTGGCTTTAAACAAATGTATCCATTCAATATGAAATAATCTAAAAGAAAGAAAAGAAAGGGAAAAACATGAAGGTATATGAATCGAACGATC